TTGTGAGGTTGGCGGATAGGGCCATACAAGTGCACCATCTGTGGGATGCTCGGCCACAACAGGGCAAAGCCGATTAGCAGCTTAGGTCAAATTGTCGATCAGCATATATTTACGCTGCTGGGGAGATACTAAGGTCGGCTGTAAGCAAATCGTCCTCAGGGATCTCAAGTGTCCCGAGATTTTCTTGGTACGAGGTCATCTCCATAGCACACGCCTTCAATGTAACGATGAACTAAGAATGGCTACACTCGGTAATTTTACCAGGTCTCGTATTTTTAGGGTTCAAAACATAGAATCTGCTGTTGGCCTTCCCCGTATTTTCATAACAATGGTGTTAAAAACACAATTGTATCACATCTCGTGAATATCTTCTATTTAAGTCACCTTTTGCAATAAACCCAAAGCTTAATTTTCAAAACGGATGTGAGGACCAAGGTTCCTGCGTTCTTTATATGTTTAAAGTCCAACATCTCGCCGTCTTTCATTCGATGTTGATAAGATATGACCTCTAGATACGAGGAACGCTGTCAATTTTAAAGATATGCCCGTCACCCTCCTCAATGCATGAACTTCGCCCCATTGTAAAAGTATGTGTACACCAGCAATACTCAGCATTTTTCCTTTTGTCGTTTCGACATCATCTCTCTCAAAATCTAATAATGTCATCAAATGCCGCAATTGTCGTGAATAATTTATCGCCAAATATATAACAGCAGTTGGCACCATTGGTGGCCCAAGCCGGCCACTAGATCATGATTATCTCATCGCATACAGAACGCAAAACGAACTTAAACTTAGGAAGTTCATTAGCAACTACAATAGTAGCTGGGCACATTGAATCCTAGAAATATAGAATGGCGTATGCTTTATGAAATATTATCAAGTTTGATAAAGAGATAATCGTAAAATTTTCAGATTTACCTACTCATATTCAAATCAACTCTTTGATAGACATCTCGTCCAGATCAAAAAGAGCATCCACCGCGGGATTAGCCTCGATGGTGACGTCGCCGTTTTCCCCTCCCGTCATACCATTGACAGGGGTATATAGCTGTGCGCTATCGGCAACGTTAGAAATACCCTGGATCAAAGTCGATCCCCTGCGTCTTGTATGTAACATACGGCATCGCCGTCTCCTCTGTACGGAGGTTTTACGTCTTATAAAGACCAGTGGGAACACGCACTCAGTGTCGTCTTGTGTCCCCACATCTGATCTATCGGAGCCTTGATGTTATTAGCAACGTTCGACGAAGAGCTGCTAGCTCCGCAGTCTTTGTCTAGTGGATAACGTGCCACTCCACGCACATCTGATGGGCATGTATCGGACCTAGTCCGACCATGCCACATTTGGCATGCAGCGACTGATTCGAAACGTGAACAGAGCTCAGTGAATTTCGTGCTAATCCAAGTGCATCACTGGGGCGTCGCCCTCGATGCCTCGGCGCTTGACCGACCATGCCACACATGGCATGCTGCTACTGCTCCGATACTTGAGCAGCACTCAAGGGGTTACGTGCCACTCTAAGTGTAGCCCGAGATCCATGCTTGGGACTCCTATCCGATACGCCTTCGGGTTTTGACAACTCGTGGACCCCGATCTCCAGCACGTTGACCATCTCGATCCAGTGCCCCCATCAGCAGCGTTTTTGTCTCCTAGGAGAGGTGGGTTCATGACTCACCAAAGCTCCACCAGGAGACGTGGGCATAGCGCCCTAGGTGTCTGATTCTAAGTCGACTCATGGCGGATGGTGCTCCAGCCATGCTATAAAGGATAAGGTCATTCCTTGTATCCAATTCTAAGACTAAGCAGCGCTAAACACTATCAGAACTTGACACCGATGTTCCACAGGGGCCTTCATAACCGTGACACATGACCCGTCGTTATGCGGACAGTGATGATCCACTCAACCGCGCCTCTAACGCCTCAGCATACAGCTGAGTTCCTATAATCGTGGAGCGTCGAGCATAATTGCCCAACACTTCGGAGTCGATCCGGATCTTCCATGGCTTCTCAAAGCCCTTCACGTTTGCTTCCACGACCAGCAAGCCCGGCTTGCATACATGTTTCGTCTTCAAGAGCACCGAGCTCATCGGTGCTGGGACCTGCTGGCCTCTACCTCCTTGAGGCTCAACAGAATTTAGTTTTTCTCCAGTAGACTGCCCGCGTCTACTGGGTGCTGTCGTCTCCCCGCGACAAACCAAAAGATTGGTAAGAATAATTCGATTAACCTTGACGCATCTTGCGCAGGGGACGACCATTCCGAAGATGACGGGTGTCTCCACAGAAAAAACACCGTCGAGTGTTCGGAACTTATTCTCCTCGTCCTCTGCATAGCTGAGATTAATCGGTTCATCCCCCCTCGACAAGCTGCTAGAGTGTGCATTCCAACCACGTCGAGCCGACTTAAAGTTGAATTCGGCATTTAATGTCACATTCACCGCTTTTTTTTAAAGGAGAAGGATGCACACGGGAGACTTCCATTCAGGCCACGCCAGTGCGAAGGCCTTTTATAAAGTCGGTCATTGTGACCGCCTCGGGACGAGGATCGGCTGTCATAGCGGCAATGAGAGTACGCAACTCTTGCACAAAGTCCACCGATTTCTTTTACCCCGTCGGGCGGCAAGGAAACGCGATCGCACGCGATATGCCTGTTTAGATGGCGAGAACAATCTTGAAAGCTACAGCTTCAGCTTTTTCCGAAAGGAAACACCGCTTTGATCGAAGTGCCGCACGTCAGTGCCTATCCTTGCGCTCGACCACCGAGCTTGAAGATAGCTAGCGCCACGCGCTGTTTCTCGGTCATGAGCATGGCAGACGCCATGGCCATTTCGGCTTCTTTTGGGTCGGGGGAGTCATCCGTCGCTGACGGTGGCGTCATGGACGAAGTCGACGCCGACATCTCCTGTTGTCGGTTCTTCAGCAAAGCACTTTTAAATTTTGAGAACGCCTCGAGGCGCGCGCTGAAGGCATCTAGTCCTTGCGAAGCGAGAGTTGCACGCACTCAGGGCCAAGACGGGACATCAGCTTTTTAAGCCTGTCCTGCATGCGCTAGGGGATATAGGAGAGTTGCCCCATACATACAGAGGTTCAGTCGTAACAACTCATGTGCAGATCGACTATACGTGTTACCAAGTGCAGCTGGACTGCCGTAGCTCTCTGGCTTAGTGGAAGCTTAGTTAAGGTCGGTGACCTTTGTTCTATTCTTACAACCAGTACGAGTGTAGCGGATCGCAATCCACTTACCCCAAGTAGCTACAACCCTAATCCAAGGCTAATTAACTCTAGCTTTAGAATGTAAACTGTTTTTTTCGGTTTTATTAAAAAAATAAAACCGAAAAAAACAGTTTAGAATCTAACTAAATGTAAAAGTACTGGTTGTTCCAGCCACATACTGTGATGTTGCTTATGTGTAGGCACACCATTGTGTGGTCACATCATAGTGTGTATACCACATCATTTTGTGATCACATTATCTTGTGTGACCCACACCCTACAGATAAGGGCACTTAAAATTCCGTTACGAATACGGTGCATACCTCGATTCATTCCCCATTAAATGTTGAGCACCTTGAAACTCACATTTGGATTGTTTTACAAAAACATTGCTAGAAAAATTTCACCGAAAAGCACCAACTGCGCTTGAAGTTTATGTCCTCCACTTGGATTTTTCGTCGTCTACTCCTTCGGGGATTAGCCTTATCGGAAGTTTGCTCGTGAGAATACTAGCATCACTCAAAGAACCTCTGAAGACGGCGTTTTCTTCGCGGCTGGCAACCTGAAAGTCATTTTCGGCGTGAAGCCGACGTGTACCTCAGTGACAAGATCAAATTGACTGTGAAAGCCAGTTCCTGGCGCCTTCGTCATCACAAACAGACGTGCATTAGAGTGGTCAACGGAGGATGAGTCGTTTTCTATGCTAATCCCGCTCCATTGCGAACTACGCACTCCGTGCCCGTTTTCTAGAGTGGAAAGGTTTTGACATCTTCCCTCGAAGCTCGCAAATCATACGGCACTCCGATCTGGCGCAACATGTGCGAAATTGCTCAATTTCTTTGGAAGTTTGGCGGTGTCGATCTTGGATGCCACATTATCGAAGCATTTGGATGCACATTTGCTCGAAGATTCTTGTCCCAGTGCTTGCCATGCTACAGTACCGACTCTTATTTTAGCATCTCAAGTACAGAATGCAGTACGAGGCAACTGATACGGTCATATCTGAAGAGAAAAGCCTTAGGGCCCAGCCAGTCGTGTAAAACGTGCCGTCAAGTTATTCAATCCTGCCCACAAGTATCAGCACAATTGGCCAGTCTGCCAGCTCTAGCAGATGTTAGCTTCTTATGAGAAATGACCTCATAAATGTTTATGAAATGACGCGTTCGATAAAAATCGGCATCGTAATTAATGTGAACCGTCTGAGCAAGATAGAATTTCTGCTCAGTTAGCGACACAGTTATCAGTTTGTATATAGATAAGGTGATCCACATTAAAGATTATTGTCAGCATCGATTGCCGGTGGCAATCACAACGACTGCTGTGGACCTCTGCACGCCATTATCATAGATTCAACATAAAAGAATTGGTTAGCCGCACCGTGGTGGATGTCATTCATGCCTTAACGCCCGTGATTATTTTATTGTGCTCCATTACACATGCTGTGCGAGCCATTTTCGTCTGTGTGTGATCAACATTAACTATGTATCTTGCGTAGTTATTTATTCCTTAAAATTGTTCTGTCAGAATTGGAGGCACTTATCAGTTTAGGGAAAGTTTAAGAGTTATTGGCCGTAATAAATGTCACTTCACCTTTACTCCCTCGTTCGCGTAATCGACGGCTCGCTTGAATCGCGCGGCAGACGGTGAAGCTTGTTAACCGATTTAAGTTTTTCTCCTTAGGTGCGTGTATACGGGCGGGCAATCTCCGCTACACTTTTGCTCAGTAACTGAGAAAAACGAGCGCTTAAAAGTCGCTCTGCAAGCGCTGCCCGATTTCATCTAGCAGCACTTCGTGCACGTGTACCGCCTGCATTTGAGAAGCAATAGTAATCAGGTATATCCCAATCATTCATGGAGAATGTACTTTATATACTGGATGCTGGAGATAGTGCCGATGAGTATTGCACTCAATTCGCGCATTGGATGGAAAATGCAATTTTTTCCAGCTTTACTAGCCAGCTTCAATCGAATAAGAAGAAATTAAACGTTGTGGAATGCCTGGCTTCGCGACTACAGAGCACGATGTGGACGTTGAGGCGGGTATGCATTTCATATATTTCTTGTTGTCAATAGCGTGCTTTCTAATATCCATGAGCTGGCTGTTGGATCACTGCCATATCCTAATTGCTAGTTGTAAAACGCGTTGTGCTCGGCGACGTTGCCTCTCCATCAGAAAGATAAAGACAGAGGTTTTGTCTAGTCGTAAGCGACAAAGATGCCCAATATATTTTGACA